GAAGACTAAAGACATAACATGAAAATGTGCCATTAATTGAGGAATATAATTTATTCAACTCTCTGCATCTGAGGTTAAAAATAAAAAGATAATAATAGTCATTATTAATACTCCTGGACCTTCGACATCCTTCCCACTGTAACCACACTGGAATATTCTTCAGATGGCTCCCTCTTGCACTGGCCCAGGCAGGGAGCATTTCCCCCCAGCTTTCTGGGTGATTTAACACATCAGGGAACGAGTCTATAAAAAGGCACAGTGCTTTCCTGTGCAGCCATTCCGAGCTTCAGAGCTAAATTGCTGTCGGTTCTACACATGTGATTTCATCTATGAAATTAGGGCAAGGTTGGAAACTGACAGAGGAAAAAAGTGATTTATTATATTGTTACTATCCCTTACAAGCGTAGGGCCAGCTGCCTCCTTTTGTCTATTTGTTTAAGGCAAGATCAAGTTTAACGTGACCATTATCACATCCCTTCAAAGGCACACTCTGGTTCAAGGCTGCAGTTGCTAAGCACATTCCTGGGTAATTGTGGTGTCTTGATGGTGCCAACTCTTGCCCTTAGCGCGATCAGTGCTGGTACAGCAGAAAAGAATGGATGGAAAAATGTTTGGATTTCAAAGGTAACAGGAAGAAATTGGAAGACAACTACTAGCTAAGCCGGTGAGGTTTGGTGGAGACTGGTACGGAACTGTATTTTTCCACTGACTGCTGAAAATGAGCCCGGCTCCAATGGAGCTTTCTTCCTTCCTTCCTTTTTCGAGGTTACCACCATGCTAATGACCAGTTCTCTCGGGAAAGCAAGAAAAATGGATCTTGGGTTTAGGCTTGTTGTTCTCCTATCCATTACAGGACTGAAAATGTGTTCTCCCACCGAGTTTTCTGCTTGTAACGACAACACTCACTTCTAGAAACTACTGTGCAGACACTAGTTTTATCACTAAGGCAAACGCGGTCTTAGCAGCCCCTGGGACGAACCCTGTCCTGCCATGTCCAACAGGCCCAGCCACTGTCTTCTTGGACGAGACGTCTCACCTCCTGGGCTTTATGACAAAGACCTGACTCCATTCCTCTCGCTCGGTGTCCGGCTGACCCTCTCCTTGCTGGCTTGTTCTGTTCAACATTCTCCTCCCACCTGGCAAATCAGGAGGGGTGTGTGTGTGTGTGTGTGTGTGTGTGTGTGTGTGTGCGTGTCTCTCGTTAGTCTGTGTACAGGCACAGATCAGACTCTGGGAGTGAGCACAGAGTTGGGAAACAAAGCAGAACCTGTCCCATGGCTTTGGGCTCGGTCACAGTACTTGCTACCATTTGGGTAGCAACATCCGGGGAGGAGATGAACTCCCTGTGCTCTTCAAAGGCTGTGTGAGTTTTTCAGGACGTCTAAGGAGCTTAGCTCTATCAGTGGGTATTCTTAAGGGTTTAGTTCCCAGTCAGGGATCAGCTCACCATCTCTGCTATTGGTAGGTCTCTCTTTTCCTTACTCTCTCCTTACGGAACTCACCCCCTATGACAGCTTTTAACTTTTGCTTCTGGGTAAACGCTCCTAATTCTCTCCTCCACAGACTTTTGTTGGGTCACAATCGTCTATGACAGTGATGGTGAACCTATGACACGCGTGTCAGAGGTGACACACGAACTCATTTTTTTGGTTGATTTTTCTTTGTTAAATGGCATTTAAATATATAAAATAAATATCAAAAATATAAGTCTTTGTTTTACTATGGTTGCAAATATCAAAAAATTTCTATATGTGACACGGCACCAGAGTTAAGTTAGGGTTTTTCAAAATGCTGACACGCCGAGCTCAAAAGGTTCGCCATCACTGGTCTATGAGCATCAGTCTAGAAATTAAAAGCGTAGGCTCTGGGGCCCAACTGCCTGGGTTCAAGTCCTAGCTCTGCACCAATCATGTGGTGTAACCTTAGGCAAACTACTTACTTCATCTGTGCATCCATGTCATCATCTGTAAGATGGGGATATAGTGCTTACCTTAGAGGGCTGCTGTGAGATTAAATGGGGGTAATATAGCACCAGGCATGCAGTAATTGCTCAATAAGTATTTTTAATATATATTTTATTGATTTCAGGGAAGAAGGAAGAGGGAGAGAGAAAAACATCAATAATAAGAGAGAAACATTGATAGGCTGCCTCCTGCATGCTCCACACTGGGGATCGAGCCCACAACCCAGACTTGTGCCCTGACCAGGAATTGAACTGTGACCTCCTGGTTCATAGGTCGACGCTCAACCACTGAGCCACGCTGGCTGGGCTGCTCAATAAGTATTTATTGCTGTTCTGCTCTTTAGCCTAGAGTAATGCACATACCCAACAAACCTTGCAAATAATTCCAAGTGGTTTTTGAACCCACTCTTTTTGAGATTTCCAACAAACTCAAGTTCTCCAGGTTCAATGATCACTTCTGTTTCTATCAGACTAGTTCCCTATCAGCACTGACCAGTCTTTCCTGGAAATACTTTATCCTTGGATTCCCAAGATTCCACTCTCCAGGGCTTTCCTCCTACCACATCAGCCCACCAGTTATGCAGAGGACAGACTCGTGCAGAGAGAGAAGGGAACCCAAGTGGTGACATTTTACATAAGCAAAACTAAACTAGGAGATGGACATTGATATGACTGTTTGGATTTCATAGGGAAACTTTTTGCAGAAACAATCTGCTCTTACCGAGTGTGTATTGATGGTGATATTAAAGTGACTTGGGAGCAGGGGAGTGGATAAAGCATTTTCTGATCTGGAAAGTTCTATGGAATGAATCATAGATTCTGGTTATGCTGTATTTCAGGAACCCAAAAAACACAGACTCTGGTGAAAAGGAATATGTAGATTCCACTTCCAGGGCTTTCCTCCTACCACGTCGGTTTACCAGTTATGCAGAGGACACTCATGCAGAGAGAGAAGGGAACCCAAGTGGTGACATTTTACATAAGCAAAACTAAACGAGGAGACAGACGTTGATATGACTGTTTGGATTTCATAGGGAAACTTCTTGCCGAAACAATCTGCTCTTACGGCGTGTGTATTGATGGTGATATTAAAGTGACTTGGGAGCAGGGGAGTGGATAAAGCATTTTCTGATCTGGAAAGTTCTATGGAATGAATCATAGATTCTGGTTATGCTGTATTTCAGGAACCCAAAAAACACAGACTCTGGTGAAAAGGAATATGTTCCTGTACACAGCTGGTACTTAGCCAGGTTATAGTCACCAAGCTTCGAAAACTGAAATATTAGAGGAATAAGATGACCTCTGTCACCTCACCAAGGTGGCCTGTGGCAGATGAATAAAGCAAGCAGATGAAACAGACACCACCACGATCACAACAAAGATGGTAGGGGCAACCTTCCTAATTAGGGCAACAGTGGCAATCTGGCTTGTCCTGGGTGGTCCTAGTGTATACCTGTTGTAGATCAATTAATGTCTCTTCATTATTTTAGCATTTCCCTTTTATTCTCAAAAGCATCTGGATCCAGATGCTAAATTACATAGTCATCCTATTAATCCTCCCCCCTTAAACTTTTTTTAAACATCAATGATGAGAGATAATCATTGATCGCCTGCCTCCTGCCCCACACTGGGGATTGAGCCCACAACCTGGCATGTGCCCTGACCGAGAATCAAACCATGATCTCCTGGTTCATAGGTCGACGCTCAACCACTGAGTCACGCTGGCTGGGCCCTAAACTGTTTTACATCATATGACTGCCTTATGCTGATGAGACTTCATTTTTTCACTTGAGCATTGTCCTGACAAATGCATTACATTAGACTCCTTGCTTTGCTATAGGAAGCCACACTAGACATCACAAACAAGTCTCCATTTTTGGCAAGCTTTCTGAGCATAACACAAACTAAACTAAGTTCATTCACCCAGACGTTGCCATCACAAACTGTGGCGACAGGACCCAACTGCCTTTCATGGGGAAAGAGTAGGTCGTCAAAAAACAAAAAATTTCACAGTAAAAATGTTCAACATGTAAAGTCTGGGACTGCACTTACTGAATGTAAGTCAAAAGCAGCCAACGAAATTTCAAAAACGCCAACGAAAATCCAGGATGGCTTTGCATTGTAGACGGGATCTCTCCCTCTGTCTTTTATTTCATCTGCATCAGCTCCCAAAAAGGAAAAGAAAATACATTAGAATAATAAGCAGTTATAACTATATTTTCAGCCTAGCAATTTCAGCCCAATTTTCAGCAGTAATGTTGCATTAGACTCAAATATTTCCTAGATGGTTTAAAAACAATGAAAATCTGGGACTTTGGGAGCTTATGTGAATACAGTTTTAACTTCTTACTTTTCAAAGAAAAATGAGATTTAACATAAAAAAATTAAAGCAATGTCCCCAAAGGTTCTTTAAGGAAAAAAAAAAAGGAAACTCAACTTGCTGTACACATTAAATAATTCAAATCAATGATCCTTTTAAGCCCTTAGCAATGCATGAACCAATTGGGGAAAAGCAATCTAATACTTTATGCATTTAGGGGGTTGCATTAGAAAGACTTTTAGTCTGCTTCTGCTTTTATAAATGCAAATGTATGCAGAGCAGACAGACTGGGATCTGTACAATTTAACAGTGATCAAAACTTGTAATTTTTAAAAATGGGACAGATGTCCAGACCAGTTATATTAAGATGCTTCTTACTGAAGAAGAAACCAAACAAACAATCCAATTCCACCTCCTCCTTAAAGAGGAAACAAATAAACAATGCAACCACAAATTAGAATAAGTTGTATATCATCTTGTTTCTTTCATAGATTAGTAACGCTGAGAGGCAGCTCGGGATAGTGGAATAAATAGTTCTAGCATGTATCACCGCTACAAACCCAAAACACAGACATGAGGGGAAGTGTTTCCCCATCAAGGACCAGCTGCAAGTTAAAGGTTAACTTGGAGAGGAGCTAAATCTCTGGTTCTGTGTACTATGCTCTCCCTGAGCTACAGACAGGAGAGCAGCTGGACATCTGCTTTACGCGGCCAATAAATATGCGGAATGAATGGCATCTTTATTCACTCAAACTTGAGTGCCCACTTCCTTCCCATACTTGGCACCTCATAGCTCCCAAGGTTTATCTGATGACATGGAGTGCCCAGAGTGGGCAAGGCACTGAGGAACTAAAGATGAAAACACAGAATTTGCTCTCAAAGAGCCCACTGTCTTGTGGGGAAGACACATAAATAGATGATTAAGATGGGGTGCTAAGTATGGCCATGAACGTACGGAGGAGGTGCATGGCAACTGAGAGGAGGATGGATTAATTGTGACCAGGCCAGCAACAAAGACTTCATTGCTATAAACCTCAAGACTTGAAAAACTGCTGGGTGGACAAGGGAGAAAAGGCACCTTCTGAGCAAAGGTTAAGCAGGTACGAAGGCACAGACAGGGCAACGGGGAGAGAGGGAGCACTGAGGTTGCAGGCATTCAATCAAGTCTTCGTTGGAGAATGCCTATATGCCAAGCAAGTCCCCGGCACACTTTATCTAGATCAGCGGTTCTCAACCTGTGGGTCGCGACCCCTTTGGGGGTCCAACAACCTTTCCCAGGGGTCGCCTAAGACCATTGGAAAACACATATATAATTACATATTGTTTTTGTGATTAATCACTATGCTTTAATTATGTTCAATTTGTAACAATGAAAATACATCCTGCATATCAGATATTTACATGACGATTCATAACAGTAGCAAAATGACAGTTATGAAGTAGCAACGAAAATAATTTTATGGTTGGGGGTCACCACAACATGAGGAACTGTAAAAAAGGGTCGTGGCATTCGGAAGGTTGAGAATCACTGCTCTAGATGCTAAGAATTTAAACAGAGGAATGTCGCCATCGGCTGTGTTTCAGAAGAGCCACTCTGGGGTCAAGGTGGAGGATGATGCCACTGGGAAGAGACTGGAGGTACGGAAGCCTAGTTATGGCTACTGCAGTAACCCAGGTGAGAGATGACAAGGGCCTGCGCTAAGACAGAGTCCCTGGGCTGGAGAAAGGATGTCTGGTCATGAGATAGACTCAACCAAGCTTATCCACCATTCAGCCTCTGCTTCATTTTCAGACAGCGCCATCCTTATACTGAGCTATTTTGTAGCCTAGCTGTATACTCTGGAGAAATTCAGATGTGATAGGTCTGAGATACTGGGTCTGTATTCTTGCTTGATTGCCAACAGTGAAATTCAGAGAAAATATTTATATGCCTCAAACAAGCAAGCAGACAAACAAAAAAGCAGGTAGAACATACATTCCAAATGCTCCCTAAATCTCCTGCCCTAAACATTCACCTGCAAGAAGAGAAGGTAATGGAGAGAAGGTGGTTTTTTTTTTTTTTTTTAAAAAATCTTATCTTTTTTAAACTTGAGCTTCATAGATGTTTGCTAGGTTTTGAAATCTTTCACTTTCCTTTATAAATTAATCCCTCTTCTAGTGGCCTATGGGTCTAAGGATTTTGTTAGAGTCTTACCTACAGTTTTAGAAAAGAGTCCTTTAGCCCAGTCCAATCGACATCGCCAGAGCGAGATGGTGAACAGAGGCAACGTATCCCTACTATCATGGGCCCTGGTCTGGTGTGGGGCAGTAATCAGGGAAGCCAGGATTAATACACTAGTGAGCTTTGCTCAGGAAAATGAAATTTACATTCTTTATGATAAACGCTTCCAAACATACATAAAAGGAAAAAGGAAAACGAGCTCACATAGGATCTCTTTTCAGATTCGACATGATCAACCTTTTGCCACACTTGCTTCATCTCTTTTTTTTTTTTCATTCTCTCTCCCTCCCTTTCTTTTTTCCCTATTCTTCCCTCCCTCCCTTTGTTTTTCTCCCTTCCTCTCCTTTCCTTGCTGTAGTACTGTTAAGCAGATCTCTTACATCATGTTGTTCTGTCCCTACATTTCACAGTATCTCTAAAAAAATATGTTCTTTTATAAGCATAATACCATGATCACACCTGACCAAATTAATAATAATTCTCTAACATCATCTAATACCGAGTTCCCAGGGAGGTTTTAGAAATTCTAAGGCTTGATACTTCTATGGTTTCTCTAGGAAAAGGCTATGCCACAGAAAACCTTAATAAACTATCGGGGAAATTTTCTTTATACTCAGCTTAAATTTTTATCCAATTATTACTTAGTATACCCCCATGCATTATGCTAATTAATTAATCTCCTTTTTTAATAGTTACACATTGCATATATTTATGAAAAAGGTATACATTTACCTTGTTTTTCCTCAGTCTTTGCTTGGCTGAGCTGTGCGCATTTAATTCTTTCAAGCTTTCCTTATTAATCAATGCCATCAGCCCCTTAATCATTCTGGAGCTTTTCTTTGAACATCATCCAGCTGGTTTCCATAAACCCAGTCATGAGCAGCCAGAAGCAGATGCCGTATTCCAAGAGTGGTCGCCCCATTTCTTCTCTGAATGCTCAATCCCAAACCGCAAGAGCCTTCTTTTCTGTCATATTATAACAGAAACAAATGTCTTGTTTTCTGCTTTTATTTCCAGTTATTTTTTGGCATTACAGTAAGTGTTTCATTCCTCCCACTAAACATCTGTGCTTCCGATCACTTTTCTCCAGATGTCATACACATAGCCTTTTGGAGTCAGAGACCCAGCTCTGCCACTCTGGCTATGTGACTCATGGCAAGTTACCTAGTACTCAAGGCCACTTCAAGCTCTTCACCAAAATAAGACGCAGACCCATCCTTCCTACTTCACAGGATTGTTGGCTGGTCAAGTGAGATGATGGAAGTGAAAGGGGTTTACTAACTTTAATGGTATGTATGTCTGTGTCTACTAAATATACTTTAGTACTCAATATACAAAAGGTGAGCATCTACATTCCCTAAAGATTTTTTTTTATTGGCATCAAAAGCCTGTTGCACCACTTAATTATTTTTGCTGCCAGGTTACTCTTTGTCTACCAAAATAATGTCTTACAAAGCATTTTTTTAAACATATACTTTGAGTCCATAAACCATGAGAATTTTGTGTTTTTAAAAAATGTTTCAGTATCCTGTTATTTCAAAATATTTTTTTACATGCAATAAACATTATCTCAAGAAAACGATTTTAAATATGATGTTGCATGCAATGAACACCAATTCAAGAAAAATGATCTTACATATAATATTATATGAAATAAACATTAATATTTCAAGAATAAAAGGATTTTAAGTATATTATCAAAACTGTACTAACATAGTATGATATCACAAAAGTTGTAGGAAATATTAAAAATCTACAAATAACAGGATTACTTCTATTATATTCTAGTATATTTTCCCCCCTCTGGCTCTATTTTTGTTCATCAGTTTATGTTGTTCATTATATTCCATAAATCAGTGAGATCATATGATATTTATCTCCACCTTCAGTCCTTCGGTATCAGGGTTCTCTCCTGTGAGTTTTCCATTGATTATTCAGGAAGCCTTTCCGTATTTCAGTTGTAATTCCAGCTTGTTCCTGGGAGCATGTCCGTGCGCATCCTCCTACTCTGCCGCCATTTTTAATCTCCCCAACCATGAGAATTTTGGATTCATTCTTCTCTTACATATAGATCAGCTATGTGGCATTTGCTTCTGTTCACTATTTGCTCAGTTCTAAGAATCATGCTCAACACTTTACCTGAATGACCTAATTTAGACTTTATAATTTTATAAAGTAGACACTATTAATACCCCCACTTTACAAATGAGGAACTGGGGGTTCGGGGAGTTAATTAACTGACGTAATGTTAACAGCTGATGATTGGAACTTGGAAAATCTACAACTCCAGAGCCCATGCTTTCAACCACTGGCATAATTTAACATTTCAATAATAGTTGGGAACCCGTAACTATCGATTAAATTCAACAAACCTACTATATCCCAGACTCTTTGGAGAGATGTGAAAAAGCACAATCCTTTCTTGGAGGCTCACGGTCTGGTCATGGAGGAACTCAAGGCTGTAAAAAACACATTAGAATACTCATCAAGGTTGTCATTATCATAGGCAACTACACCAACTACCCAATGCTCAAGAAAATACTACTCATACCAAAATTCAAATTTACTGAGTACCATCAATTTTCGTTTAAATAGTCCATTCAAATGTCCAGTATGTAGTAATATTCTAGTTTTGAGTTTTTTATTACCTTAATCTGGTTACTGCCCCAGACTCAGTTCTAAATGGGCTCCCTGTCCTGTATTTCTGCCTCTTCAGTTCTTGCCACATGACTGCCAAATTAATCTCCTAAAAGTAGAGCTTCCATGTGAAGCGTTACTTAATTCTGGCTTTCAAGGTTCCAAACGATGGAACGCCAATCTGCCTTTGTAACCACATACTGACATGAATGTTCCTCTCCATCCTAACCATTCTCCTCTTTCCTGAATGTGCCTGGTACACTGCCATCTTTGCCATCTCTCCTCCTGAACTTCTTTCTTCTCTTAAGTCTTTGAATAGTATCTACTATTCAAGGCGCTCCTCCTCAATGCAGCCATCCTGATCACTGTGTTCTCCCTCCTCTGTTCTCAGGGGCTCAACAGAAGTTTGCAGAGATTAATTACTGCTCCATTAAATAGCACTAGCATTTGGGGCAATACCACTCACTGACACTTAGGGAGTCTCTTGCACCACTCCTTAACTTCTTTATATTTAGGTACATTTCTTGAGTTCCCATCTGAAGTATGTGAAAGCTTCTTAAAGGCTGGACTACATCTTCAAGACTTTTGTCTTCTCTACATTCTCACCCAAAGGCAGGTAGGGATCTTTGACAACTGACACATTTAAATGATATGGAATAAAATCACCTAATCATCACCTTTAGATCATATAGCCAATTGTGTGAGCCAAAAGATTATTAATAACATAAGATATCTAGCCTCTAAGTTACTCATGCATTAACTTGGAGTTGGGAAAAGTTACTTTTCTATGCCCTAATTTTCTCACTTTAGTTGACATATTTTAAAAGAATTACGTCAACTAATGTCAAAGTACCTTGACTATAGGATTGCTAGTTCATTAAATGTTACTTAATGGATCAACAGATTATTTTCTAAGGATATAAAATTAGCTGTAATATTATGGTGTCTCTTTGTATATAGAGCTCCATTTCTAGCAAAATCAGTGGACAAAATAACCCCAACGTCCTGGCAACTATAAATGCTGGGGAAAGTGTTAAAGCATTGAGTTTATGCTTGCACTTCAGATGGAAGCTTCAAGACAATGTCACTATCACCCTAAGAGCGAGAAAAAAATGGAAAACTTCTTGAGCCCATGAGACAGCTGAGGTTGCAAGGAAAAATAAACTCAGAGGAAATATGAATTGTTTCAGTTCTAAATAGCATGGAAGGAAGAGGCAGGCATCCTAAAAGCAGGTAAGATGAAAACAACTAAGATTGTAATTAATTCGTAAAGGCCCCGAATGACAGCTTAGAAATTCTGGGAGTCTCAGACACAAAGGAAGTCACTTCCTAGTTTCTAGGCCTAGAAATATGTAAGAAACACGTATTTAACAATTTGACTAAAATGAAAAATAAAGTTGGTACTTAAATAGTAGACTCTTGGGAGAAAACTAATTTGTTTTTGGATGAGCCTTAAAATGTTAAGATCTAGTTCATTAAATGTTACTTAATGGATCAACAGATTATTTTCTAAGGATATAAAATTAGCTGTAATATTATGGTGTCTCTTTGTATATAGAGTTCCATTTCTAGCAAAATCAGTGGACAAAATAACCCCAGCGGCCTGGCAACTATAAATGCTGGGGAAAATGTTAAAGCATTGAGTTTATGCTTGCACTTCGAATGGAAGCTTCAAGACAATGTCACTATCACCCTAAGAGCGAGAAAAAAATGGAAAACTTCTTGAGCCCATGAGACAGCTGAGGTTGCAAGGAAAAATAAACTCAGAGGAAATATGAATTGTTTCAGTTCTAAATAGCATGGAAGGAAGAGGCAGGCATCCTAAAAGCAGGTAAGATGAAAACAACTAAGATTGTAATTAATTCGTAAAGGCCCCGAATGACAGCTTAGAAATTCTGGGAGTCTCAGACACAAAGGAAGTCACTTCCTAGTTTCTAGGCCTAGAAATATGTAAGAAACACGTATTTAACAATTTGACTAAAATGAAAAATAAAGTTGGTACTTAAATAGTAGACTCTTGGGAGAAAACTAATTTGTTTTTGGATGAGCCTTAAAATGTTAAGATCATCTTGATCAGTTTCAGCTGCTTATAAGAGCTATGAATACTATTTTAAAGTTTAAATAAATTTTAGCTATTCATACTCATAAATATGACAACTATAAAATCTGAAGAATTATTTAAATTATTTAGGAAAAATTAAAACATGAAAATAAAATTAAAAAACAACACAAAGGCCATGAAAATACTTCTACCAAGTATTATCTGCATAAATAACTCATACAAATGTATAAAGATACCATAAGACATTTATTTATAAAAATGAACAAGGTTCACGGAAAGTCACATAAAAGTAAATTAGAGCAATTTTAAACTCTCTCTTATACTTACTAAATTAGCAGCAACATATCAAACCCCCACCTAAAAAGCTGTAAACTTTTAGTGAACTGATAATATTGAAATGGCGACACTAAAATGTTACATCTCTTTGGGAAAGCAATAAGGCAAACATATTAAGAATGGTAAAATTGTTCATATTATCCCACTTAATAATCCCACTCCCAGGAATTTATCCTAATAAAATAAAAAATAACAAGTGTTCAGTAATAGAAAATAGTTTAAATAAACTGAATATGAAGCCGTATGATTAAAATAATAATGATCAAAACTAATTACATATCCAATAAAATGAAGTAAAAAAACCCCAGCCAATTAAAAAGGGATAGGTATTTTAAGATTGTAATTATGCAAACAAAAGGGAAAATATTAATACAAAATTAAAGTTCTGAAGTCATTGCACAGGGATGGTGAGGATTATGGGGAATTTTCCCATTTGGCACAATTTTTTTCAATGTTTTTAATATAAAAGAAAAAGATCATTACTATTTTAAAGTCACTTGCCTATTCAAATAATCTCTACTCTTCTCCATTAGTAAATCATACATGTCAATTTTTGAGATGTAGAACAGAAATGCCCCTGTAAATGTTCCTCTATAGGGACCTTATTCCTCAATCGGGACCTTCACTGCAGTGCGTGAACACATTCCAACAGACGAGCAGCCATTGCCACTTTTGGTTGACAATCTGCAGGGCACTAGATAGGAATAAATAAAACTGTAAACTTTGAATTTACAACTATGTGTGTTTGGCATTTTAGGTTAATACCTTGAGATATCAAACTCTTTTCCTTATAATGTTCTGTGTCATACTAAGAATTACTTTTAATATTTTCATTTAAAATATGTGGCTAATGTGATGAAAATATTCTCCTGAAGCATATACATTTTTATATTCCGTTTCTAATAGATTTGCCATAAGAAAATCATGTTAGTTTTCATATTGAAAATTTTCAAGTTAGAGGTTGCAAGTAGGCAGCTACCTTAAAAGAAATGCAATCCATAAAAATCAAGACACTCTTATGTTATGAAAATTTTTAATGATTCCTCCTTTTGAAACTATACTTATTGAATAAACGAAGCAGGACTTAAACATTTCTAATTTCTACAGACTGGCTGCATAATATATTGTTCTTCCATAACAAAAATATGAAACTCTCATTACATAGAAAATATGCTATTTTGTAATGTGACTTCGCTTTCAAAATTATGTTAACAAGGGAGAGAAAATTTTCAGTAGGCTACTTGTCTTTTTTAAAAAATATTTTTTTATTGATTTCAGAGAGGAAGGGAGAGAGAGATAGAAACATCAATGATGACAGAGAATCATTGATTGGCTGCCTCCTGCATGCCCCACACCGGGGGTTGAGCCTGCAACCTGGGCTATTTTCCTGGGGGGGAATTGAACCATGTCCTTCTGGTTCATAGATTGATGCTCAACCACTGAGAAACACTGGCCAGACATCAATAAGCTATTAGAATGAAAATGTTTGAGAATAACTTTTTAAATATTTAGAGCAAAAGAGATAGCTGGAAATGCACGGTGACTATCTCTAAGGCTATAAATATCATTTGAAAGCAAATTAAAAAACAATGCCCTTCAAAAGGTGTGAATAAATACTAAAGAATAAAAACATTTTTAGTTTAAGATACATTCTTTAGTTTACTTTTGTTTTTAATATTTTTATTGATTTCTTACAGAGAGGAAGGGTAGGGGATAGAGAGTGAGAAACATCGATGAGAGAGAAACATCGATCAGCTGCCTCCTGCACACTCCCCACTGGGGATGTGCCTGCAACCAAGGTACATGCCCTTGACCGGAATCGAACCTGAGACCCTTGAGTCCGCAGGCCGACGCTTTATCCACTGAGCCAAACCGGTCAGGGCTAGCTTACTTTTTAAAAACTGTTATTTACTAACATAGTACAGGGTGGTCAACTGTTAAAAATATCAGAAAAAGATCTCATAGTTCCCAAAATATAAGCCACTGGGCTATCCTGTGTACTAACGGTAGAGGCCAATTTAAACATTTAGTCCTACATTGACATCCCTTAAGTGGTAGCAGCAATAATTTGGTATAATTATAAACATTTATTTTAAAAGTTTATTAATGTCCAAGACCTAAACAAACATGGCTATTACCAAATAAATGCATCCTTATCAAAGAAATGTTCTTAATAATGGCAAACTCTCCAAAACATAAAAATAGTTCAATAACAGCCTTTTCTAACATTGTGTAAGAATTTCAATACAACAGTCACCAGAGAGCCAAAATAAAGTCAAAGTGACATTAATTTACATTAACTTTTGTGATGACAAAGAAACATGTAGCTCTTATGTCATTTTTCTTTGATTAGAAAATGTGTTCAGCTTTTTCACAGGAAAAGACTTTGAAGCAAGATCAAAATCAGAAAGCTGATTTCCCTGAATCCAATCTAACCACATAATAATATTCCAGAACATTCCATGGTACGGCAAAGAGCTGAACAACTGCAAGGCTCCTTATCCTGGATAGCAGATAACACTGTACCCTCTCGAAACTGTAAATGATGGACATTTTTCTTTCGTGCCAAAAAAAAAAAAGGGAAAAACTGTCCTTTGCCCATAGCTCGTCATTGTGTACACGGGATTCAAATGCCAACCAAGAAATGACGACCCACGCCAATCTTAACATGTCTTAATTTCACCGTCTTCTCCCTTCGTCTCATTCAGAGTTATATATTCACAGCTCAAACCGTGCTCCTGAGAGTCCTCGGGCTTTGGTTTTTTAAGTGCCAGCTCTGCTGGGAGGAGAGATGAGCAATGCTCCAGAGACTGCGCAATGTCATCAATGGTCCATTTGTCTTCGGGAAGGGCGTGCTCGTCCAGCGTGAAAGGCCCCTGCTTGGTCCGGGTCAGTTCCAGCACGTTGGCACAGGAAGAGAGCTCTGCAGCAACAGAAGGTGGAAGGAAACCCACAGGACAAGTCATTCGCCTATCGCAGGCTCTACTTTCAAATGAGAGGAGACCTTGCCGCAAACCTCTCAAAACCACTCCAAAGGTAAAGTTGCATCAACACAAGAACCAAGAACCCTGGGATTAAGAAACGATTAAATAGCAAAATAGTATTTAATAACTCACCTTATAAACGGCTTTAAAGTCCGCAAGGAACTTACACACACTTTTCTCATCTGACCCACGAGGCAACCCCATGAGGTAACCATTACTCTCACTTGGCAGATGAAGTAATATGACCTGTCCAGTGTCACAACTGCCAGCAAACACTGGAGCCAGAACTGCCACTTCCTGGCTCTTTGTAAGACTGTGGCTTCCAGTTTTTACAACACTTGACTTGTACCAATGAAAATAACTTGTGGAAGGATACGTCTTTTTTTCCCTCCTCCCTGCTTTGGGTTCAAATATTTTGTGCTTGAAAAAAATGTTGGTCCTTCCATTCATTATTCCCATCATCATTTTCTGTCCCCCCGCACCCTTTCTCTCATTACAAATGTTTTGCTGCAGCTGCCGATGCTGATAATTGTGTGCCATAAACCTCGAATGCTTCCGAAGCTGGAGGCAGCGAGAGCACAGATCATAAGGCCAGTACTCAAAGATATGACAAACAGGAAATTCCCTCTGCTCATCAAAACAGGGATATTACTCTCTAGACGATAATTCATAATACATTTATGCTTACCTTTGCCAATGTCACTGACCAAGCTTCTGATATAAAAACCTCCTCCACACTCAACATCTGGAATGTTAACAATGACATGGTAAATTGCTAACCTCCTATGAAATCCACTTTACACAGAAAAGATGCCTCTAAACAAATGTAAAAATGCACTATGCAAACAATCGGGTGATAAAATATTTATGTGCTAAAACATAAATTATTCATCCAGCAGCGTATGTGTTTGTGAGATTGAAAAGTCAGAGCGTGGAGAAAGCAAACAGCAGAAACTCATGAACACATTTTAAATTAACTGGCAAGTCATACCACCTTAATGCTTCAGCCTTGTTCATTTAATAGGTTTTAAGTAGAAATCTCATCTTTGCGATCATGAGCTGAAGATTTAAAAAAATATTTTCAGATTTCTACGCCTTGTTCATTTAATAGGTTTGAAATGGTTAGACATCTCAGCTTTGCTATCATCAGCTGTAGATTTTTAAAATAGTTTCAGATTTGTACTCTCAACAATTACAACAAATAAACAAAAATCCTTTTTTGGGATTACGTTTGGGGTAATATACTACACGGAGAGCTCAGCATTCTTAAGTGTTTTCTTGGAAATATTCCTAAAGAAATCATAAAATAACTAAAATTACACAATGTTCTAAAACTAAATGCATATTTAAACATCTTCTTAACACAGCATAACACAAGTTTATTGGTTAAGAGTAGGGCTCTGGATTATCTTTATTTACCCACAAGTCATGCTGTATTCCAGCTGCTTCTAGTCATATCACACAAATAAAGCCATTTAAGGGAATTAATCAGCACTTACTACCTGGGGAGTTTAATTCTTTATTTTTTCCCATTAGCTCAAGGGTGGGGGCCAGAGCTGAGATAAAAAATGAGCACTAGATCAAATGTAAGTGGGTCAACATTCATGCACTATTTTTGGCTTTGGTGCAAAGACATCGCTTTTGGCCTATCACAACCTCCAGTGGACAAACTGAAGCATTTACAGCTTCAATGCCATCGGAAAAATTTGAGTTTTTCTTACTTTCATAGATAATATCTCCTGTGCCAACCCAGCTGCTGCGTTTTCATGGAATGGAACAAAATATCTATGACTGTGTTTTTCTCATTATTTGTCAAACATTTTAAAATCAGGAAACTAAAGAAAAGGAGTGACTTCTTTTTTACAATTGTACAAAAACCATACTCTGACGGATAACACGTTAAAGCAACAAAGTTCAGGAAAAAAAGTTTTGGGAAATTAAAGGAATCCTATTTGATATGTACCATGAAATTATAAGTAGGCTCACTATAGCTATTGTATGTTCAGGGTTTTAGCGACTACTTTCTGCAACTAGGAGATCATAAAATTTCCAAACAAGCAAAATAAACTTTTTGGTTTTTAAATTTATTAGATAAATTCAAATTGATATCCTGAATTAAAATGTGCCCTGTATCCAATAATGCATTTCTGCCTCATGCATTATTTCCATTATCTTTAACAGTTACTTGTAGGTAACAAAGAAGGTGAAAAAAATACACCATTCCTAGATGTCTTGTTCTAAAACTCAAAATGCTTTGTTTTAAGAGGACAAATTAGTATGGATTTTATACTGAAGGTAAACTATCAGATACTAGCCAAAATGGGGGAAGAAGTAGCCATAAGATAAATTTTAAAACATTACATTTTGAAAATATATATTCACCTACTCTTCTCCATAGAGATCTCAGGTATGTTACTTACAACTTTATAGAAAGACTAGAGGCCTGGTGCACGAAATTCATGCACTTGGGGGGGGGGTGTTCCTCAGCCCAGCCTGCACCCTCTCCAATCTGGGACCCCTCAGGGGATGTCCGACTGCCAGACACTGGCAGTC